TCAAATTAAAAAATTACAGTATGTCCACATCTTATCCATCTGAGCTGACACCATGTGACTTTGGCTCTTTTCTAAAGTTGAAATGACAATGAAATGTGAATATTTTGAATAGGTTCACGGCATAAGATAATCATGGCAAAACAACTTTACGCATTCATTAAAGAAGACTGACAGAGCTAGCTCAGAAAAAAGACAACTGTGGGATAAAAATGCTCAAAGAGAGAGATTCCAAAAAGGATCAATGGCAGTTTGTCTTTAAAAAAATAACAGTTACGATCACTATCTTTTTTATTGCACATCATAATTCTCCATAATTTCAAACACATCTTACTGAGTGTCTGAAGGATATCTCAGAGGCACATCCATCACAATTCAACAATGATGGAAAAGTTTCTTTTCACAGATTGCTAATTATTACTTCCTAATACAGTTTATAATCAATACTGTTGCTCGCTGACAATAAAAGAAACAAAACTAAGAAATTTAATGAGAATTTTTTTGAATGCACAAAAGAGCTTCCCAACTGCATCTCTCTGCATTTCGTTAAGATTTCAATACCATTTTTTATTAAATATAAATCTCACTAATCTAAAGAAAGAATGCTTAGGTTAAACTTACTTAAGAAATATAGGCACTAGGTTATTGCACTTAATCCATTTGGCAAAAAACTGCCAATCTTTCATATACTGAAAGCAATACTGCATGCATGTCAACGTAGGATATGCGTGCAATATAAGCGAGCATTTTAAATATTGTTACGGATTTTGTACATATACAAATAATTTTAGTGTTTTTTTTCTTTCATTTTTTTTCCTGTAATATGAAAATCTAATGAAGCGATGCTCTGCCAGAAAAATAAAAATATGGGGGCAAGTCTATTTAACACTGAGTAAATGGCTATCTTGCTAAATTGGTAAAATATTGCCAAGCTGGTGATGGTTTTGGCAACTAATTTTTGTCACCAAATTTTTTAAGAAATCACCATAAGTCGCCAAACTTAGTGACCATTTGGTGATACTTTGGTCTGGTCCCTGTATAACTGTAACAGGTATTGTAATTGAATAAACGTAATTGGTCACTATATGTAACTGTAACCATATACGACCCTTAGTTGTAACTTTAACCATATATGTCTTACAGTAATTTTGAGGAATGAAATTTATTACAGATTTCCTGGCAGCCCGGTGAAAAGTTTATAAGACTGGAGAGAGCATTTGTTCTCAGCTGTTAGTTCAGAGATGAATTCAAAGTACCGAGATATCTGTATTAATTTTGTTCTTTGGATGCACTGTATTGTGTTTAACGTTCTTTTGTAATTACTGATGGTACTCTGTGATACTCTGAAGAGTTGTTACGAATATTTTTATGAAAAGTTTTAGAACTACGAAGTTTTCCTTTTGATAAAATTAATTTTATCATGCTATCATCAATTCTGTGTGCATTCAATGTATTACAAACCCACACACATGCAACAGTATGATGTGTGAATCCGCTTAAAGTTGTGTGAACCTGCTTGCAAAATTATGTTGCAAATAAGAATGAAGAATTATACTTCTTATAAAAATGAATTTTGTTATAAAAACTTATTCCTCCCGAAAAGAAACAAACGCAGAGATACAATGACATTTTTTTTTTTTTTTTTTTTTAAATTCATACTCTATGATGCTATCTATACATTAGGTATGTACAAAAGTTCCATTTTTGGAGAAATAAGAAAATTCATGTTTTTTAATTAGTAAATACTTTAAATGATATCATTTTCTTCATTTCACCTGTTACCAATTTCCTGCCTATTTAACAGCATTTTCTTGCCATTTCTGCAGAAATCTTCAGGTTTAGGATTAAAAAATCCCTATATCATGATTCAGTTTAATTGTTTTTTAATTGTCAGCCACATAAAAAGATTTTAAGGATTGCAAAAATTAAGCTTTTACCTATTTCTTGCCTATTTTACAGTACTTTCCTGCCTCTGTAGAAAGCTTCAGTTTTATAATCAATAAATTCCTCTATCAGTCTAATCATTTTAGTTCTCAATCACGTAAAAAGATTTTAAGGTTTGTAAAAAAGCAACTGAATTTGTATGCAATAAGAATGAACATCAAGAATATTATTTAAATTTGGAAGCTCCTAGATTTATTTTTTGAACCCAAAAAAATATACATCTGATTGTATATATTCTTAGACCACATCACAGATACACATGTATATATACCGATACACCAAAACATTATGACATCCCTACATTTTTCAATGAACTTGTCTGGATGATGTGGCGGGCACGTAGTTGGGAATGGTACTTAACTGCTGTTGGAGAAAGTAAGGAATTATTCTTCAACTTCCTTTTGCAACTGAATTTGATAGAGAACAGATTGTAATGGCCCGAAGACTTGGAATGAGTATCTCCGAAATTGCACAACTGGTAGATTGTTCATGATCCACAACTGTTAGTGTTTAAGCAAAGTGGGCAAATTACGATAAAATCAGCAGTAGGCACTGTCTTAGACGTCCATGCATCATCAAAGAAAAAGGACATCAGAGACTGTCCTGCTTGGTACAGCAAAATTGGAGCCAGACAGTGGCTCAGCTGACAGTCTAATATTATGCGGGTCCAAGTGCAAGTGTTTCTGAACACACAGTTCAGTGGACACTGTTGAATGCAGGACTGCACAAGAGATATCCCACTTGTGTGCCTCTGTTGACCAAGCATCATTGTCAACTCTACACCTTATAGTAGGTCCAGGAACACTGAGACTAGACCATGGATAATTGGAAGACCGTTTCCAGGCCAGATGAATCACAATTTCTCATTCATCACATTGATGATCATGTCAGAGTATGCAGTCTTTCAGGTGAACAGTTACTCCCCCCCTGTACAGCAGATCATACACAGGCTGGTGGTGGTGGGGAATTATGCTTTGAGAGGAGCATTCTCATGGGCAACCACAACATTGCTCTGGAACCCTAAATTATGTGTAGCTCTGTTACACCCTTACATGGCATTTGTCTTCCCAACTACAAATGGAATCTACCAACAGAAAAGCGATCTATGTCATAAGCCGCAAATTGTGTTGGAGTGCGAAGAGTATAAGGATGAATTCCAATTAATGTCCAGGACACCTAACTCTTGCCAGATCTTATCCCGATACAGCATACTTCAGATAACGTTTCACTGGTGATAATGTTTTGACTCTTCAGTGTGTGTATGTATACAAGTAATGTGATATAAAAATGAATCATTCCTTAACTACATCAATAGTTAAAACATATCCGGATATACAGTCTTTATAAAATTCTTCTGAACTGAGACAAAGACTGAGAGTCTTTAAACCGATTGAATAAATTCTTCATTCACTAGTGGCACAGTGGATGTCTACTCTTCCTCTACTTAAAATAATGAGTTTCATTCAGTGAACTTCTTTAAAACTTTTATGATAAGCACTTCCATCTAATTTTATCCATAAATAAAATAGATATTACATGTTTCAGCACACACCATTTCTTGTTTTTATTAACTTGAAAAATAAACGTGTGACAAGCAACTTACTGACTTTGAAACTAAGAACACTCAACAAAATTTGTAGAATAATTTAACATATTTAAAACGCTATCCCTTTAACACAAAGAAATCCAACCTGAATGGAAAATTATATTCACCGAAACTCAGAAAACTCACTGAAATTTGAACGCATACACATATTTAGACCTAAAATAGATTTTTGGATCAATAACTAGTCTGTACACTTGAAAAGAAAATGAGGGTAATGTGTAAACTGAAATGATATTAGATATTTAGCATTACATCAAAGTACAGTTTTTTCTCTTTAGAATACAAAGGAAATGTTAAATCACCTTACGACAAGTTAATCAAATAGTTAGTTATTTGGCAAAAATACTTATAAGAAATATTAGTTGAAAAGGTTTCTTCTATGTTAAAATATTTAAGAACAAATGAATGTGACAACTTGATCAGGAAATTTAGTCTACATTTTTCTTTTCCCTTCAATACTCTGGGAAAGGAAATAAAAATGCAAAAAAACTTTTTTGTTTTGCCCTTTACTTGTTAAAAATAAAGGTACTTACATATTATCCCAACAACTGTGAAAGCTGGCAGAGATCCTGCCAAAGTTGACCAGACATACCAGTAGAATTTTAAAGAACTGGCACTTCTTTATTTAATAAACAATAAGTATTCAATCCACTTGGTTATTGCACCTTTTGAAAAGGCTCTCCTTGATTGCTACTGTTTTTTAGGCTTTCTGATTTTACTGAAATCTATGTTTAAAATGCTATGAGTACAAACTTCCCATAAATAATTGTTCCAAATATATTACTATTTTGCAGCAATATTTAATAGACCATATCGTGCTTGTTTTGATGAAAGGTTTCTATAACTTTGAAAATAAGCCATTGCTCACTATTTTGTAAAAGAAAGGCCCTAAGCTTTGATCATCTTTTCAAAATGCAAGTAAAAAATACATCAATAACAAATAATTTATAACTTTTTCATAAAAATAAAAGGAGGTTTATTGAGAATCAATTGAAATTACATTAAGCAAAAGCACAGAAGTCATGAGTGTACTGTTAGGAAATATTAATCCATAAATAGTGCTAAATCACACTACTTGGTAACAGTTTTATGTTCAATGGGATAATATGTCAGTACCAAAAAAATAAATAAATAAGGTCATTACAACATAATTCATAATTAAAAAAGGGTTATGTACTATTATTACTAGAATATGTTAATATCAAACTTTAAAAAGCCTTGTATGTATTAAACAAAATTCTCTTTAATTATATATTTATTAAACAGTTTTGTATTTTCATACCTATTTAACATAAAAATCTCTCGGAGTGCTACTTGAATTATTAAAGCGGTATTACATAAGTTATGAAGGAAAACTCATTAAAATAGCATCCAGGCAACTGCTAACTCTTCAGCTGATTATTATCAAAGTTCACATTTGTTTTTTAAATAAAAATTCTACCAATAAACTTACCAGGCCATGGTTTTCCTTCCTAAGTTTCCAAACATCCTTCCACAATATTAACATTTTCTCACAAACGTCATTCAAATAATGGCTTAATTCAGGAACACTTAAAATCCCAGGACTCAAAGAAATCCAACTATAAAATAAATTGATACAGTAAAAATCACACATTTAGTTGGCTTATAAATACACAATGCAAATTTTAATTAATAGTATACATTTCCCCTTATGATTTATTCTTACACAAAGTGCTTCTAGGAAAAATTAACGTAAATTTATATAAATACTGATATTTATTCGATCGGCTTCAAGTTTTACATATTTTTGTAATGTTATGTTGTATGTTTATAGTCAAGTGAAGTTTATATAATAATTTTATGATGCAATTTTATTAACTGAATCTATGGCCACTTATTATTTTGCAAGAGTTCATTTAAAGACTACATTTTAGGCCTTTCAATTTTGAATCAACTAAACAAACAACTGAATTATAAAGATGGCTCCTTTAGCACCATAGATATAGATATACACAAAGACATCCCATCAGATGTAAGCAACTATTTCCATTACTAAATTGGTGACATCTGCAATTCACATTTCTCACCAAACAGGTGATATGCTGATAATTTCTGAAAAAAATGATTATTGAAGCAACCCCCCCCCCTTTTTTTTTCAAAGGAAACCCTATAAATAACAATTACGTTGAAGCTGAAGTTAGCTCAGTTATTCAGTTTACAGTCATGTGATAGTATTGAGATCCTTCTTAGTTATAACTGTTTCAGATTTGACTCTGCAAGAGACTGGTGATCTGTGATTTTTTAATATGTTAAGGACAATTTGTCTTATCTCTGTTTTTCTCCTTCAGCTGTTTTCTCTACTATAGGAGCTTTTTATTTCAACAAAGTGCCAATATTCTCTTGTTCATCTGGCATAACTATTAAGATCTCTACAAACCAACAAAAATGAAATAAAAATAATAATAATAATAATAATACAGACATCATAATTTAACTCAGCATTTTATTAGCCCTTTCACACAAAAATGCAGATTTGCTGAAGTACCCTAATTTTTAATTCCAAAATAATTATGCATCAATACTCTGCACATACATGTGGCCCTCAACTTTACAAATCAGTTCCTGAAAGTGTATGCAGATGTTGAAATGTTCAGAAGTAGAGGTCTGTAAAAAAAAAAAAAAAAAAAAAAAAAAAAAATGCAACAAAAACCCTATTTTAAAATATTTATTTATCAATATATATACAATGAAATTTGTTTAAGTTCTTTCAGGTATTTTCTTTAGAAACTCATCAAGAGTTAATAGAATACAAACTTTTTTTTTTTTTCCTTTTCTTGATAAAGACTTCTATAACGTGCTTTGCCTTCCTCAATAGCCCTACATGCTTAGATATACGTTCTTCACTAGGATCACATTTTCCCACTGTCATGAAAAATTTGTCAAAATGCATGAAGACATTCACATTTTTAATTTCTTTTACATTTTTAAGTCTGCAAAGGCTGTTTTTATCAGCTTCTGCTACCTCACTTTCACATAATTTCCGTGTTTCGATATGCAAATGACTAAATAACCAATTTAAACTGGTTTTAACAAGAACTGTGATATCACGCTTCTTAAACATACATTTATTCTTTCATTTTATCATTTTGTTTTTTAATTTGCCCAGTTAATTTATGGACACACGTTGTACAATCGTGACTAACAAAATTGCATTTAGATTCAAAAAAGCATTGCAACTTCATTCATTTCAGATAAAAATTTTAAATCCTACTTGGAATAATTTTTTGGTAGAAAACAATCAAAAGTTCTTCAAGAGTGGAATCATAAAACTGCCTGGACGATAGTAAATTGATTCTGAACAAAAAGGTTAATACATTAATAATTATTTCTGTATAAAAAAAATGCCTTTTGTTTTAATGAAAAAGAAACAAAAGCAGTTTTTGGCAAATCCAAATATATTATTGATTAATAATAATATTCAATTATTTAACAATAATAATCCAATACTATTCAATCATTTAACATAAAATAATTTTAAAAATTTACATAAAGATTTCATTTAAGTATCTGAAAAATGATGCCCAGTTTAAAGCTACTATCCATACCTTTCTGTATCTTCACCTTCTTGAGGAGGTACTAGAATTAAAAAATAAACAAACAAATAAATAAAGGTTATGGATAAACAAAGAGTAAAAGATATTATTACATGAAAAATATTTAATACATCACACATACCTCTAATTTCAGGCCATATTTGATTAATCCATGTTCTATACAGAAACAAGACTAATGCTATTACAGCAAGAATTGAGAAGAATCTTCTATTCCACAGGACAATCAACCTGAAATAAGAAATAATGACATAAGCTAAAACTTCAACATTAAAATGTAGAGTACTTAAGTATTATTGCATCAACCATGAAATTTGGCTGCCATCGAACTATAAAATTGGCAGAGATCCCGCCAAAGTTGCACCAACTGTTCATTCACAATTCTGATGGAATTGATGCCTATTGATTTAATAAAATCACCTGTTTTGTTTTTGCATTTTGTGAAAAAGCTTTCGTCAATTTCCACTATTTTGTTAGGCCTTTGATTATACTACAAGTTCTGTTTAGAACACTATGAATACAAACTATGAATAAAACCATACATAGATATTCCAATCAATAAACATTTTGCCTGCCACATTCAGTTGGCCATATCATGTCCATTCACCTTTTTCTTTTCTTTTCTTTTTTTTTTTTTTATTGCAGAATATCATAACTTTGAAAATAATACTCAGCTTGCTGTTCTGTAGAAGGCAGGTCCCAAATTTTAAGAATTTTTTATTTATTTATTTTTCAATGCAAGGAAATAATACAGCAAAAACAGTTAATTCTTGTTTCTCACAAAACATGGGTTATTGAGAATTAAACACAAAATGTGAGTTACTGAGAAGCAATCAGACAAAAGCACAGATATTATAGGTGTCTTCTTACATCATGTTTATCCATAATTGGCACAAAACTGCACTGCTGGGCGACAGTTTCCCGGTCAAAGGAATAATACAAAAGTATCAAATATAGTAACAATGCATTCTTAGCAATAAAAACCTTACCTTATAAGACGAACTTGCTGATGAGAATTCAAGGCTTGAGCCTAAGGTTGTAGAGATCCTTTGCCTTGTAAATCTCATAATTTAATATTTTAATTATCTTAAAACTTTATCTTTGTTTCTGTTTTATGATAAGCAGAGGAGACTTTCCATTATTACAAAGGTTTAGTTATTAGGCTGATAAACTAATAAAAATATTTATTTAAACCTTCTTTTCCGCTAACTTTATTTAGAAGCTGGGCAGATTACAGATTAATTTTAAAGTAGTTAGAATCCATACAAGCTAAGAAAAGAATGTTCAGATAATTTGTTTTCTTTATATAAAAATTTATTTAACAAAGTATCTTGCTTCAGCTATGATTTATATTAAAAGCCAATTTGAAATTTAAATACAATAAGATTTTGTAATTTATCTGGAAGCATTTTACATGTACCAAGGATGGAAAGTGAATCACAAAAGATAATTTGTTCTAACAAGTCATTCATTAATCTGTATGGAAGTATCAGATGCAGAATTATTCATCAATCAAATAAAGGATATTTGGCTAAAGGCATGCATTTTTAGTTTATATGGTACTGGTAATTTGCTGCTGCATGATGGAACTATGAATGTATGATAGTACCATGGAATTTTATATCAGCACTTTCTGCCTTCAATGACGCAGCTTTCTCTACAGAGAAATTCCTTCTTCTAGACCTAGTTAAGACACATACTGCATGGCTCTACACCACTTCGCTTTGCAAACTGGAGTTAATCTTCAAAATTCATCCAAAGTCATTTAAGTCCAGGATCTGTGGTAGGTTCTCAAGAAAGACATGTGTAGACACAAGCTATGGATAAAAGATCAACTGAAAGTCCAACAAGCCTTAATCAACATTTTGAGAGAAATTTGCTGTATGTACATAAAATCAATGCTCAGGTGAATTACAAATGTCTATGCAACAAAAGAACATCTGAAGCATGAAAATTCACTCTTTGTATGACCTGCCATTATTTAATTTAATCAAATTAAAGCTCATGTTTGGGATTTGGTTATCCAATCTCAGTTCTACACAGGATCCATGATAACCTCCTCCCCCCAATAAGAGGTGCAGAAATGCAAACCATTGTAAAAAAATAAACTGCAGGTCTATATCCAAACAATGTCGGCCAGCATTTCAGAAGAAATTTGTGTATGAGAAATCAGCTAAAATTCTTTACTGATGTACATTCAACAAAAGACAACATACAAAGTACTGTATATTCTGGCATATAACACACAACAGTGTTATAATATGCACCTATAATTTCAAACTACATTTTTTAAATTTTAGGTATATTCGTTGTATAATATACAGCCCTCTTTTTCATGCAGAAACCCAAAAGCAGCTATTAACTTCTGAAGTCATTCATTTAAAGATTTTCCAAGGCTTTCGAAAAATGGTACATTGAATTGACAAGCCTTATAAGGGGAACACTATAGTTGCGGAAAATGCTTGAGGGAATACATTGAAAAGAGCGTGAGCTGCAATCAATACAAGCATGCATCAGCATGTTATTCTAGTTTCTCGAGAAAAGCGATAACAAAAGTTGGGATAAGAATGCACTTCCAACATGAATGAATTCACAGAATTAAGAAACAGATTTTTCTTTCTGTAGTTAAATGAAGCCGTGATTTTGAAATCAGCATCAAAAACTTTAATAAATCACATTTGCTTTAGCTGAAATACTGTTGATCTAGTAATCCTTTTAGTAATAAATATGACTCCTGCCAAATGAAACTAATACAGTGCTATTTCAAATGCAAAGTTAATTAACTTGAATAAGAAAAGAGGAACTGCTACGGAAGCAAAGATGTTTGGTGTTGATGAAAGCTCTATACATGAATGGAAGAAAAATGAAATCATAATGATTAATATAACAAATAATAAATGTTCTTTGCATTAAGCAATAATACAGTGGCCTATCATAGAAGAAAGTGTTACGGGATGAGTCCTAGAAAATTGCCAGAATGGATTAATTGTAACAAAAAAAAAGTGTGTTTAGTCGCCTGAAAGTGGGCAAAAAAGAACGCACATGAAAGTGAAAATTAACTTTGAGTTGGTGGTGTTGATTTATGGCAGACAATATTTAGTTCCACAAGAAGTTGTGAAAAGGCTTCCAAAAGATCCGAAAAGTATGTTACTGAACTATGAATTAAAAAAAAAAATATTTACAGTCAAAAAAACAGGTCAAGAAAAATCTCACCACAGAGCTTTGCTGCTTAGCAGACGGTACAAAATTAAAACATATGGTTATTTTTAAAAGAAAGATGTCAAAATGTAATTTCCCAATTGCTGTTTTCATTCGTGTTCATGAGAAAGGATGGATGTACGAAAATGGTGTGAAAAATGTGGGTAATAAATGTTTGACAAAAGCATCTTGTTGCCTCAAAGAATCGAGAAAGTCTTTTTGTTGGGACATGTTCAGATCCTATCTAACAGATAACATGAAAAAAATGTTGAAAGAGTGTAACACATCACAGTTATTCCAGATGAATTACTGGCATTAGTTCAGCCTTCAGATGTGTGTATCAGTAAACAATTCAAAGAAAATTAAAAAAGACAGTGGAATACATAGATGTTAGAAGGTGAAAAAACATCTACAATGGATATTTTTGACTTATTTTGACTATTTATGTGGCGACGCAAGTATACAGATTCTAGTTCCGATAATTTTAGGAAGTTTTTGGATGCTGTTAAGGAATTTTGTTTGACTGATGACGTATTAATTCATAAATAAGGTAAGTGGATATTTCTTTTGTGTAGTGCAAAGATGAATTTCTTTTTTTATGTTATTTCATTGTTTGATTTAAAATGTAGTTTACTGAGATTATTATTTTTTGTTGGCTGCTCCTTTGACTTTTTACGTGAATATAGTTCCATGTGCACATGGATAAAATCAGGAGAATGCGCTAGCCTAGTTTGTGCAATTCTCTGATTTTTTTTAAGTGAAAATAAGTCGATGTGCACATGAATAAAGTCAAGGAAGTTGCGCAATGCTAAGTTTGTGCAATTCTGGGATTTTTTTTAAGTGAAAATAGATCGATGTGTTCATGGATACCAAGTTTGTGCAATTCTTTGTCTTGCTGTTTTGGCTTTTTACAACTCAAAGAATTGCACAAACTCTGTATCCATGTACTGCCAAAATTCGCCAAGGGGTACTCGTAAATATACTTTTACCAAAAACTGTATGTACTGAAAAATTTAAGTTAATAAAACTTCCACTTTTTTTTTAAAGTAGAATCAAGTTCCTGCAACTGTAAGTGCTATTTTGTGTTTTTAAAACTCATATTTGTTTTCAAGCGTAATCAAGTTCCTGTATATTGCAGACATTTCTTACCATAGTTCCTGTACAAATGGTGACCTTGCCAGAGCGTGCAATGTTGCTGAAAGTCTGTACAAGCCATCACACAAAATATCTATTCTCTTGGGCACTGGAATACTGAGGTCATTGTGTGACTTAATGCTATCCTTTATATTCTTTTTAAGTTACTTTGTTTTATAAACAACATCCTATACAAAATCAACTTGACATTTAGCCCCTGTATAGCTATGTAAACTCCCGGTGCAGCCTCACGGGGCTCCAACGAGTTGTTTCTTTGAGATAGTGGAGGGCATGGGACATATGCCTGTTTACCTATGTTATGCTATATGCCAGGCATTCCCATCCTCTATCACCTGTGACTTCATGTTGCTACACTTGTTCTTCACGCATCCATCAACTCCTTACTTGCCTGACAGTGGCCAGATTTCAATCAACATAAACAGAAATTTAGAGGTATGATAATTCTGCAGTTATAATTCTCTCTATCAATTATTCTCCAGTAACTACTATTCTCCTGTGATCAAATTCAGATACATACTAGTTTATGATTATGAGATACACTCTTCACTTCTAGATAAATAATGTGAAGCAAACAAAATTTCCACAAAGAAAAATCATTATATTGATTCTAGCTAATGATACAGGTGCCTATTATCTGAACATGCTGCACTACTGATCACTTTCATGTTCTGCCGTGCATTATCTATTACAAAAATTGTACATCATTCACATATTTCAGTTTCCTTTACAGTACAGCAATTTTAATTGCCAACAGAGTACATATAAATGAATAAAAATTTTGATTTTTCTTCCCATCTCCAGAAGCATATCCAAATTATTCTCCTTTGGGAGGCATGGGTGCTATATAATTGTTTAAGTTGTAAGATCTGAGCCACATTTCAGAAAACTCTAAATCAGAGGTTCTCAACCTTTTGACTAATGCACACCATCTAAACAAAAATTGAAAACCTTTAGTACCACCACTACAAAGTACTACTACCTCCTACACTCTTGAACAAGGCTCAGATCGTATAAATTTACGAGTGTTAGAGAAAAAAACTCGATCAGGATGTTCGGGTTTTAATTTTTGATTTTAACAGTTAAAAATACTTTGCTTCTTTGCGTACCACCTATTTTTCACTTGTGTACCACCGGTTGAAAACTCCTGCTTTAATTTATCCTACTGATCCTCATAATCCTGGTTGTTCTTCATGAAAACTAGCAAAGGGAGGAATTCAAGCCCTTGAAAGAAAGCTGTGTTTAGGGCCTTCTTGTCTTACTTGGATCCTGTGAGGTGAAATATCAGTGAATGTGGTATTAAGAACAATTTAATTTACTGCAACACAATTTATTTTTGGTATTCTCTGATTAACCGCCCAACACTACCAAGAATAACCAGCAAAGTGCGATGTCACCAAAGTAGGCAACTCAAAATTTTACGAAAATGTATGTATCTAGCTACCAAACTAAATGTTGCATGCATATTATGGCAGCACATGATGTGTGATGTTGCAGTTTTGAAATTAATTTCATCTTAGTGGTTTCTGACTGTTGTGGTTAGTGTGCGGAATCTGGCTATTAATCAAAAAGTTGCATTTTTTTAGAAATATGGCTGTTTTGACTAGTAGCAGTAACTAGTCTAGTAGTAGACTAGACCAGCGGTCGCCAACCGGTGGTCCGTGAAAACTTTTTGATGGTCCGCAGAAAAATTGGGATATTATTTATATTTTTATGAAGATTCAGTTTAAATAACGAGTAACAAAACCTATTATGGAATATGGATTATACTTTTTTTTTTTTTTTTTTTTTTTTTTTTTTTTAATTTTAGCTACTACTTTTAGTGAAATTTCATCTGAATTTAGAGACTTTTTAGCTACTTTTGCAGGTGTATCTAGTGACATTTGAAAGTAAATGTTGGCATCCATGGATATGCTGCTGTTATCAATAATAGCACAAACTAGAATTATCTTTCCTTTCTAATTACAAACATACGCTATTGTAATCGTTAATAACACAGTTTTTCTCCATGTCAATAAGCAACTTGATGGATTTTGTTTAGAACCAACTGCAGTTTTGTTTATAATTGCATCATTGGAAGTTTCCATTTCTGTTTTGTCTAACTGTTCATCGATGACACCATTGCTAAGTAAGTGATGATTATTATGTTTACAATAATTAAAAATTGACGCTATAACACTTTCAGTTTATTGGTATTGCTCTGTGCTTGCCGGTTTGTTCTTGCTTAAGTTCCTTTTCAGTGACATGGAAATATGAAGCTTTCTGTACAAGAAGGTAGGGTTGATGACCGCTGGACTAGACTGGTTTAATTCTAGTATACGGTACAGAGCCCTTAAGTAGTATAACAAGTCAAATATTAATATAAAAAATGTTAATGAAATTATGTCATGCAAAATTTCTACTACTTTCAAAGTTTTTTAATGAAATAATCATACATAAAATAGCATTACTAGGCCACACTTATTTCCTTCAATTCAGTTCTATAAATAAAAAATACCTACAATAAATGTACTGAATTACTAAGAATAAACTAAGTAATTTACTACATTTTTTATTTAAAAAAACTATAAAGTGATTAATATCCCCCCCAATTCATCTGGTGATGTTCAAAAGATAGCTGAACTGATAGGCTGTATACAGAACTTCATCAGACCACCTGATTAACATTTGAAGTAGATAAATAATAACAGAAGCACATTGTTCACTTAGAAATGAATCATTTATAAGATTACAAATATGACCTGTAAACATTCTGAATCTTTTAAACAATATTTTATTATATAAAAAATAGATGGTAAAATATACTGAATTTGCATTTCATTCGACATCAACACTTCAAAATACAAAAATATAATCTAATTTTCTTTATATGCATAAAATAAATAAAAATATTTTTCCAGAACGGATGAATAGCAATTGTTAGCTTGTGAAGGTAACTAATAAAATAACCTATTCCCTTGTATATTCCCACAGAGCACAATCTCACAATTTTCATTTATAAAAAAAAAAATTTAAACTTAAACACACATTTGACAATAAATATCTAAGAATCACTACACAGGAAATTTATCCGATATAGAGAACAGAACAGATGCTCTTACTTACCAGTTCTTTATCAAACAACATAACTTAATATTAAATTTTCACTTCAGTTTTTTTATATGTTCGCATGAATATGAGGTTATCAATACATTTCTGAAGTTATTGCTAATATGATTTAATAACCATCGTACATCAAAAGAAATATCGAAATTTTCAAAGAATATGATAGTGCTTTATAAACACAGTACAATAATTAATCAATCACTTACCAATATAAAATATTGATGGTTACAAATGCTCCAGCACTAAGAAAGGGTCGTTCCCAAATAAGAAGACTCTGCAACGACACAACATACGTCTCAAATGGACTCAAAATAGAATTGAAAACATTGGCCCTCTTCGAGATTTCAGGCGATGGCGAAATACTCTGTTGTGGTTCAAACAACGAATATACTTTTTTTGCTATGAAATCATACCGTTTCTTCACTGTTTGAAACACAGCAGTCATAATTTTGAAAGTACGAATCGGTGACAAACGTAGAATTATGTATCACAAAAATCAAGATGGTTTACAGAATGTAAATAAATAATTCTTCATATCAACCTACAAAACACGCCGCTTGTTTAAGATCATCATGACGATCATGACTTGCCTTCAATAACATGCGATTCTATTGGCTGTAAGGTTGCCGCAATTTATCGCTTTGGCACTCTTTAAAAAACAGATAAACAGTTTCAAAAACTGTTCCTAAAAAATAAGAAAATATAAATAAATACATAGAAAGAGGTAGAATGTCATTCGACAGTTATCGCTTTTGTATAAGTGAATGTTTATCTGCAGTTGAATGATTTCGTTACGCGTTAAGTTATCAAGCTGTTATTCTATTACGTAAGATTATTTCATCAGACGATTTCAGTCGTAAGAAAAGGCGAGCCAATGAATTTATTGCTAAGAAAAGAAAGAAAACAAACAAACAAAAAGCTGCTTTCAACAACACAGAGCTAAATAATCAAATTAATTTAATAGTAGTTTTCGGAATTTAGGAAACCACAACTACTGGTATTCAAGGAATGCTGAAATACGTTAACAATAGTACATTTAATAAACAGTGGGAAATTAATACTGAGCAATCATCTTTGATTTTAACTGATTTAACTCTGCTGTAAATATTTGAATTATTTCGGATTTTTGTATTGTTATTGTGCTTTGTTTTATTTGTTTATTTTATTTTTTTATTTAATAACTTGGGGGTTCATTTTGTCGTTTACTCTAATTTATAGCCACATATCTTGAATTTAAGTATTCATACTTCAGATAGAGTTGTAGATCTTTTAATTTTGAGTGCAACAACGTAGGAATTGTAAAACTAGCAGGAGATAGAGCTACATTGTTCGATATAAGCAAATTTTTCTCCGCGTTGGCAACACTTCCGGATTTCTCGCCGACATAGCTGCCTTCTGGAATACATTTTTTGAAGTTTGCAGAGCCCATGCTACAGTATATAAGTACAGGATGGAGAGCTGTGACATTTTACCGCAAACTGAGAGCAGTAAACAAATATATGAAGAAAGATTTATTCTACGAATGAAATTGAATGTGGAATAGTATAAAGGACATGCAGGAACTTGCAATGTTTCTCCTTCAGCGGTTCTATCATACACAAAACTGCTGTAATCATGAGCTGCGATGTGCTTTACTGAGACAATCACGAAACTTTTTATGCCTTCCAAGGAAAATCCGAACTTCCGAAATTGCCAACACAGGATACACAGCGAATTTTCGCGGATGCGAAAAATTTTCAAAACAGAAAACTACTTCTAAAACTACTTTCGATGATCGCTATGTGAGCAACAAAACTTATGCTCAAGCACCTGACGACATTACTGAAGCCAAAAATGTTTTGGCTGATTTACGAATGTTTGTATCCCTGATCAAAGAAAAGGAAATTTCACTATTAAACAAAACAAATCTATGCTTACGTGAATACCAAATCTCAGGATATTTCCCTCATCTCAACAAATCATGATAATCACACCAGAAGCTGGAATCCAATACACTTCGTAGTATGGAGTGCCTGTAGGCTTCCCAGCAGACTCCAGAATTTGCAAAATCTTTTCTACATCTGGTGATATTGACGTTGGCATTATTACTTAATCTCACGTTTAGTCTTGCCATAAGTTAAATATTCCAAATTATTGCTAATACAAATGTGAGCGGCTAAATTACTGTCGCGGTAGTATGATTATTTAAGTTGAAAGAACTTTTCAGTTCCATCACATAAGTGAACGCAAACCTCAGATTTTGAACTTGTGACCGTTTGTGTTTCACTCCACGTAAACGTGGAGTGAAACGTTCATTTCGGTGTTCATTTCGGTTCGTCACGTTCATTTCGGTGTCTTTTATAAAGCGCGCCTAGTAACCCATACAGCACACTTAGTTGCTGTGACATCCCAATGTTACATTTTCGTCACATTACATTAGTGACCATGGTACAACGTTACAGAACTGTCACACTGTGATGTGAATGTCGCAGGGATATCACATACAACTCACAGGAAACATTTAATGTGACTACAAGCAATTTCTCGGTTTCCCCCATCATTACCTTTCCTGGCCTTGCTCTTTAACGGAGGGGGTATTCCTGCGCGCTGACCTTATTCCCCCCCCCAAAATTCATTGTTAAATGTTTCAATATTGCTTTCGAGATAAATTATTTTTATGCTAATAGTTCGCGGCTTTAGTTATTTCTTTTTTATTAAAAATATTCATAATTTATAACAGGATAGTTTATACTGTATTCACTTTGTGTGATACTAAGAAATCGTGGATTGGAAAATATATTCTGAAATGAATACATGCGCATTCTACCATATATAGTGTTATCAAGAGAACGCTGACCAAAAAGTTCTTTTTTTTTTTTTTTTTTTTTTTTTTTTATAGTCCAAAGGGATTTGAATCCCGAAGGACTATTAGTTTCGTTTTGGCATTTTGCGTTGGACTCATAAATGTCGGTTCACTTTTCAAACTGTTGCCACAAAATGTTAGAGTCCTGCATTATATTTGAAGAAATTAAATAATGAAAAATCTGCATAAATGTATGTATATTTCTCGTATTGTGATAAAACAACGGTACATAGAGTCATCGAATTTTGAATAACGTAATCCTCCAACGAATATGAGCATGTGGAAGACCAAATTTGAAATTTGAATTTGTTTTATGATCGATTTCCTATTTTTTAAAACTTTGACGAATTTTTGATTAACAAACTCAAGGATTTTAAAAGCGAGCAATGGCAACGTTGTGCAGAAAAAAACATTTTTATCTCCAGCGCGTGAGTCTCTGTATCGGAAATTCTAAAGATATGCTCGTTTTAAAACTATTTTGCGATATTGCTGTTGCACTGGATCTTATGGTTTAAGTGCGAGGAACATGATATTTAATAAAGAAAGGTAACACACAAAATGTTAAAAAACGCCCCTTTGGACGTAATTTAAAATCTGAAACATTTCAGATTTTTTTTTTTTTTTTAGTCCAAAGGGATTTGAATCCCGAAGGACTATTAGTTTCGTTTTGGCATTTTGCGTCGGACTGATAAATGTCGGTTCACTTTTCAAACTGTTGCCACAAAAATGTTAGAGTCCTGCATTATATTTGAAGAAATTAAATAATGAAAAATCTGCATAAATGTATGTATATTTCTCGTATTGTGATAAAACAACGGTACATAGAGTCATCGAATTTTGAATAACGTAATCCTCCAACGAATATGAGCATGTGGAAGACCAAATTTGAAATTTGAATTTGTTTTATGATCGATTTCCTATTTTTTAAAACTTTGACGAATTTTTGATTAACAAACTCAAGGATTTCAAAGCGAGCAATGGCAACGTTGTGCAGAAAAAACATTTTTATCTCCAGCGCGTGAGTCTCTGTATCGGAAATTCTAAAGATATGCTCGTTTTAAAACTATTTTGCGATATTGCTGTTGCACTGGATCTTATGGTTTAAGTGCGAGGAACATGATATTTAATAAAGAAAGGTAACACACAAAATGTTAAAAAAACGCCCCTTTGGACGTAATTTAAAATCTGAAACATTTCAGATTTTTTTTTTTTTTTTTTTAGTCCAAAGGGATTTGAATCCCGAAGGACTATTAGTTTCGTTTTGGCATTTTGCGTCGGACTCATAAATGTCGGTTCACTTTTCAAACTGTTGCCACAAAATGTTAGAGTCCTGCATTATATTTGAAGAAATTAAATAATGAAAAATCTGCATAAATGTATGTATATTTCTCGTATTGTGATAAAACAACGGTACATAGAGTCATCGAATTTTGAATAACGTAATCCTCCAACGAATATGAGCATGTGGAAGACCAAATTTGAAATTTGAAATTTGTTTTATGATCGATTTCCTATTTTTTAAAACTTTGACGAATTTTTGATTAACAAACTCAAGGATTTCAAAGCGAGCAATGGCAACGTTGTGCAGAAAAAACATTTTTATCTCCAGCGCGTGAGTCTCTGTATCGGAAATTCTAAAGATATGCTCGTTTTAAAACTATTTTGCGAACATGATATTTAATAAAGAAAGGTAACACACAAAATGTTAAAAAACGCCCCTTTGGACGTAATTTAAAATCTGAAACATTTCAGATTTTTTTTTTTTTTTTTTCCCGACGAATTTTCGCGATCACTTTTACAGTTCTGTTTCTTCTGTCAGACGAATATATCGTCACTGTTAAGTTTTCAGATAAGGATTGTTTATTGTATATTGATGTGAATGATATCAGTAATAATTAATATACAACAATAAAAGTGTAATTTAAATGTTATGAACAAAAAGAAATAATGAATTGACGATCAATTAACTTTTATTTGTATTACTAAGAGTGCGGAAGCAAAAAAGGCCTCATCAAAAGTTTACCTCCATTTTTTGTCTCACTGCTTAGAAATTTTAATTTTAAGGAGTCAATTTTATTTGTTAGGTAGAATTCACTTTTTGTTGTTTTTAATATTAAAATATAATGTGAAAAAGGAATTTATTTTATGCATTTTATTGCAGTACTTTCATCGTACTTTGCTTTTTTCCAAAATTAATTTCACACAATAATTATCTACCTCCATGCGTGGTACTTAACGTCACATTACAAATGATGCCATACTTCCATAACGATGTTCTAATTATATATAATAAGTTTTTTTAATTACTATAATTCTACAAATGGCTTATTACTTTACAATGCTGAATTTTGTCATATGTTTCCTTAACGTAAATTTCTGAGGTTATTTTTTAAATTTATTACATTAGATCTTTCCTTCCAGTAAATTATGTCGCGCTTTCACATATAATATATTTAAGTTGTGTTGTTAAAATAACTCAAATTTAAATTTCGCGCAAATGTCATAGACATGTTTGAAAGAAATACTATATTTAAAAATGGGAGGTACGAAACTAAATTATTATGGAAGGAGGGTTGTAACACACTGAACAGTAATTATGAAGTTGCAAAAAGACGTTTGATAAGCTTAAATAATAAATTTAGGCATGATCTGCATCTGTACTTTCGTTATAAAGAAATAATTAATGATCAGTTAAGGGATGGTATTATTGAGCAAGTTGCATTTCATCGACATGATGATAGACACATTGGGTATTTTATGCCTCATCATTCTGTAGTACGCGAATCAAAGGAAAGTATGAAAGTTAGGATTGTGTATGATGCGTCGTCAAAAGTTAGAGATGGGCCGTAACTCAATGATTGTTTAGATAGTGGTCCCAAACTTAATCCAGGTTTGCTTAGGATTATTCTAAGATTTCTTTATCACTCAATTGCGTTTTGTGCTG